TTCTTTTATGAGATCGAGTGTAAGCCGTACACTTTCATCGTGCATCTCTTGCTACTCAACCAGATATTTTTTCATCGAATGATGAGGTTACGAAAACTCTTTAGCCGTGGTGTTTATATTTGACCAACATTATAACTTACATTACACGCGACATCATAAATGGAGTCTGTCTTGTTGTTGTTGATGGTGCCGTCCTAACTGCCCATACGACTGACGAAAGGATAGCAACCCAGTTTCCATCGGCACTTTCAAATTTTTTTATTAGCAGATTCAAAATTATTTTATTGGTTGCTTCGACTTGTTCATTAGTTTAAGGGTAATATACAAATGTGAACTTCAAGTAGATCCCCTAACATTGGTAGAAATCTCTTACTCCTTGATTCACAAATTGTCCTATTATCGGTGATAATGATTAGCGATAGCCCATAACAACAGATTAAATCCATCCATATAAAGTTTCAAATAACTTTCATAGTAATATGGATGAGTGTCTTAGCCTCGATCACATTAAAGAAGCAATCCATGATGACTAGCAGGAACTTACGTTAGCTTTTAGATGAATGAAAGGGTCTGAGGATATCAATGTAACGACTTCTGTTGTCGTATACTAGTAGACTTGTTGAGACTTGATTTTGTGAGCGAGTCTTGCATGCTTATTTTATGTTTATTGATTTTCTTAAAGATTGATGGGTTTTGATTTAGTAGATGATGCCACTAAAAATATCAGAATAATCCAAGATAGATTGAGAGCAACACAAGATAAGCTAATAAGTATTAGAGGTCCTAAGCATCCAGCAGTTGAATTTTAGGTGAGAGATTTTATACTTTTGAAGGTCAGTCCCACAAAGGGGGTGAGTAGATTTGGTAGAGCGGGTAAGCTGAGTCCAAGATTTATTGGGTCTTTGAGGTGATTGGCAGGGTTGGTAATTTTGCTTATCGATTATTTCAACCTTATGAAGTTTTATCCATTTCTCAACATTTTGAAGAGAACCACACATTTATTTCTTGGCTTGAAAATGAATCAACCAAGACCTGCGATCCAATCACTTAGTCTCTCTACTTTCTTAGTGCTCTGAGGGGAATGCATGTCTAGTAATGTATATACTTTTTTTGGATTGGACTTGATTATTTTAGGGTTAAGAGATAGCCGAGAAAATTTTCCATTGAGGCCCAAAGGTGTATTTGAGTGGACTTCAATCTTATATTTTAATTTTAAGGGTTTTGAATGTTTCCTAAATATTATTTATGCATTATTTGACCATTTTTCTCTTAACTAACACATCATTCACATACACTTCAATGTTTTACCCTCTTGTTTAAAAAATATTACATCTATGAGCCACTGGTAAGTAGCTTCTGCATGTTTAAGCCTAAAAGACATTATATCATAACAAAACATGCCCTCATTGGTTATGAAAACAATCTTCTCTGCATCAACTAAGTGCAACTTGATTTGGCGGTATCTGAAAGACATCTAGGAAGCTCATAACTAAATGAATGAGCACCGATTTCACTAAAGCGTTGATCCTCAAAGATGGTAGTTGTCCTTCAGGCAAGTAGAGTTCAGGTAGGTGAAGTCCACTAACATCCTTCACTTGTCATTCTCCTTCTAAATCATTATCACATTTGATGCCCAAGTTAAGTACTGGACCTCTAAGTTGTACTTAGCCTCCAACAACTTCTACACCTTCTCGTGGATTGGTTCAACCAGCGTAATAGTTGAAGTCCTTATTTTCTGTTTCATCAACCATACAACATGACTGGTGTTTATTCAATGATAAATAATATCTAATGGAATTCCTAGCATCTCTGTGTTTGACCGGGCAAAGACATCCTTGTGCTCTTGAAAGCATTTGATAGGCAATTCCCATGATCATGCATTAAATGATTAACTTATCAAAAAAAATACCAAGCCCTCCTTAGACCGCTGGAATTTGGTAGGTGATCTCCTAGGTCTCGAAACCTTCTTCGCACAAGTTTTGAAGGCCGAATGGCTCCTGCTCCACACTTTTGATGACCCAGAGGTAATATGCGAGGGACTACTCCAGATTGCCCAGAATGGTGTTGATCTCCCTATTGCCCATAAATTTCACTGCAATGTAGTACATTGAGATTATGACCTTAAATTCATCGAGCAAGGACAAGTAAAATATACCTTTGTGGATTGGCGGCAAATAAACCACAAAAAATCTTCCATGTAAGTGAACTACTTCTCATCTTCTACCTAGGCATCAACTAAGGAGATTATTCCCAAGGCTTCATTTCTCTCACTTGAGAAGCCATCAAGTGGTTTGACTGATATAGTCAGTCGGTCAGCCTTAAGTCCCATATTGTCGAACGCTGACTTGAATATAATGTTCACTAAGCTACCTTAGTCAACTAAGATACTATCGGTCTGTTAGTTACTTATTAATGAAGCAATGACAATGGTTTTATTATAAAGATTTTCCTAATGGGCAAGTCCTCATCAGTGAATGTAATGGAGGCATGTTTGGTGCTCTTTGGAGCTAGGGCGGTTGCGCACAGTTCTCCCAACATAAGCTTCCTCAAATTGGCCAGTATAGAAAAACTTCCATCTCCTACAAGGATTGTTATTACCACTCTAGTGATGTGAAGGACGGTCATTCAAACCAGCTCGTCCAAAATTTTCTTGACTAGAGCTTTCCCTTGCCTCTGAGTTGTTGCTCCTAGCGTCATAAATTCCTTGAGTTTTTCAGCTTTGATCAGCTCTTCAATCAGACTCTAGAGGTGTCATCATTCTTCATTTTTGTGGACGTGTTCTCTATGATATGTATAATATTTCTTAGGGTCATAGAGAAAGCCTTCGGCTCTCATCAGTGATGACTTCATGAATTTCTCCTTATTCTGGATGACCTACAGTATCTTGACCATTGAGACTTGGTCATTGAAACTCTCAACTGAGTCATCTTTGGTTCTTCATGAGGAGCGGGCAAGCACTCACTTAATAAGCTGACTGCTGGTCAGGGCATCGAACCTAACTACCTCGGTTGTAACTTATGTCTCCTCCCCTATTGTCTCAGGGGTTTATTTATCTTCATATCGCAAGCGAGCAGAAGGACACAAAATCTTTCCTCAGTTACTGTCTATCATTCTTAGGAGCCCTCTTCTACAAATGACTAATAGTGATTATGTTCTGACAGAAGCATGGGTGGAATTGTGTTCCTCAACCGAGATATGATTGTTGGCTAGCTCCAACAGCTCAGCTATAGTCTTCGGTCACTGAAGGCTCAAAACATAGCAGCAAGGCTCTTCTTTCCATCCTTGAGCTAGGGAGGCGTGTGTTACTACTAGTTTTAGATCCTACACCTTCAATATGTCCTTTTGAAATCAAGTAACGAATGAGAGCAGGCACTCGCTCTGTCATTACTTGATCTGCAACAGGACACACAAACTTTTTTGAGGCATATGGGTGCTCATAAACTGCACCATAAATATCTGCTTCAAGTCCATAATTGCTATTGCCCGTAATCCATTGAGTCACCTAAGGACAAAATCCCTCAGTTTGGCGAATAAGAGACGCAATTTCAGTTCGTTGACAATCTTCAGTAAGTAAATGATCGATTCAAAGGAGGAAATGTGGTTGGCCAAATCAGTCCAACCCTTATATGACTCCAAAGCGGGGGCCTTCAATCTCTCTAGGGGCTCAAATTCAAAAATTTGTCACGAGAATGTGCTATTTGGCTGGTGGGGTGCATCGGTTCGTCTGAATCATTGTCTATCCATTGGTACTGACCAAGCAATGTTGCGGCATTAGGAATCTCTGACTCACGCGGAGGTACACTTCTCCCTCTCGAGTGTTTTGCTCCCTTCCTTGAGTAAATATCTCTAAGATGACATTCATCATCTTGTCCTTCAACTATTGGATTTTTCGCTGCATAAACTCCCTAGAGAACTTCATATTGACGGTGTCTTTGTTGTGAGTTTCTTCTCTTTATGCCACCCCTCTTTTTGTTGTTGGCATGATACACACTCACCACCCCTCTTAGAATGTTGAATCCAAATTTATCCGTGAATCACACCCTAGAAGTATAGTGTAAAAAGATACATACACAACAATAAAAGTAATTTGAGAGATGTGTGTAATAATTTATTCATATAATGATCCCCTATTTATAGAAAAAGGGAGGTATAATATGTGAAACTATATTTATGTTTCTCATTTATCAGAGAATGTCATGTTATTATATGTATTTTATATTTGTAGGCCCATAGCTTGACAGATCTAAGGTTCGAATGGCTGGACTGACGAGGTCATTGTAAGTATTGTTAGTTAACTAAGCTTAGTGAATATTATCAGTTGGCTAGGCTAGTGAGGCCCATTGTTCAGTTAGGTCTTATAGAGACCACCAATCAACTAGGCCTAACACTATCAGTTAGCTGACCTTTTACTGGTAAAGGGTTGACAAGATTGGCTCGGTCAACTAAATCATGTCGATCAATTGGTCAAGTATGGTTGCTGATGCTAGATCCATAATAAGTAGCTCCTTTCAGTATAGTAGAGCTATGCTATAGAGCAGAGGATAAATCATCATAATTCGACAGGTAGCCACCCTTAAATGAAGATGCTTTAAGGGATGGATGAGACCCGTCTTACTTACTGATTCTTGATGTTGTTTTATAGTGACTGTTGGATGCCCCTAATAGAATTGTAGTAACTGAGGGGTTAGCTTCTCCCTTAAGTTGGTTTCATCGTGGGAAATGACTTGGATTCCTCCGTGCTCTGCTTCCGGTCGAACCACTCGAGTTGGGGGTGTTCGGTTGCCTTGATTAGTCTTGGTCCTGACATCTCCAATCGGACAATTGGGCCTCCTAGGCACCTATCGATGGGCCCTCTAGCATGTCTGTCCCGTCTATGTTGTCAGATCTCCTCAAGATTTGTGCTGACACTTTTCTTGTATAAATATTATTATTTACATAATATTAAAATAATATTAATATTTATTGAAAACTTTTTAAAAATTGAGCCATCTTAGGGCAATCTATGTAATCGCCCCTTTGGCATTACCTCAAGGTCGATAGGCCCTCCAAGTTTCTGGTTTGAGCTATAAGAACCATCGATCAACTCGACTGTTTGGTCGATCACTCCTCGAATTTGGGTGCTGGAAGTTCTCGTACATCGGCGAAGTTCTCCTCCAAGTTTGTTATTTTTTAATTTTATAACTTTAATCGACTCCACTTTCCTTTCTGCTTGTCAAATTCGTCTTGATTAATCTTCCACCGACGATTTTTTCCTCATTTATTCAGTTCTTTCGCGGTGTCAGGGCAAAATCTCAACTCTGTCGCCGTTTACATACGATGCCTTATTCTACCGTGTTGAACTTTGTGCTGACTGCTGCTATTTGGTGCACCTGCTACGCTGCCCTAACTATTCTGTCGTTTTGGTTCTTCTAATCATTCTTTCGGATTCCTTCTCGGCTATATGCAATGGGTTATGCTCAACTCGTCATCGGTCCCGCTGGAAGCGGCAAGGTAGCTACAATGGCGATTGATGAACATAGTTCCTCGCTTTCCTTATTTTTCTTCTTGGTTTCAATATTTGACCGATGAGGTTTCTGGTTGCAGTCTACTTACTGTTCTAGCTTGTACCAACATTGCGAAACCGTGAGGAGGACAATTCATATGGTGAACCTTGATCCTGCTGCAGAACACTTCAGCTATCCTGTTGCCATGGGTATCTTAAATTTTGAGAGCTCGGTTCATGTTTGATTATATGCTATGATGAACTTCTAATCACAATTTTTTGTATGCAGATATTAGAGAACTTATATCTTTAGATGATGTAATGGAGGAACTTGGCCTTGGACCTAATGGCGGTCTTATGTACTGTATGGAGTATCCTTTGTAGCTATTAAAATACTTTAAAATTGCGGTATTTACATACATACCATTCAATTCCTATGTAATTCCATGTCGAATACCTAAATTTTATCTTCTATATTTATGCCACCCAACCACCCAAACCTTTCATGTGACATAAAAAAATACCATCATTTTAACCTTTAAAAAGTGAAATTCACCTTTTTATGTATATTTAAGTTGGCATGTATGTAAAAATTGAAACGTAGAGGTTAGATATGTAAATACATAGGAATTGTGTGGTATGTGTGTAAATCTTTCTTTAAAATTTCATTAACTGATACTTGTTTAGTTCAGTAGTTCTATTAGTTTTTAGTTCTGTTTGTGTATTGTGTTATTGGCAATAACATACTGCTTGTGGTATCTGTAACTCAGATAACTGATTATAATAGTTTATTGTTGCTTTTGCGTACATACCACCCAATTTTTATGTATTTACATATCTAACACCTAATTTTACTTATTTACTTTTATACCACCCAAATCTTTCATATCACATAAAAATACCACCATTTTAACTTTTAGAATGTGGTATACAGTTTTTGTATGCATAGGGAAGGTGGCACATATGTAATAATGAAGTTTTTGTGTCTGATATGTAAATACAAAAGAATCGAGTGGTATGTATGTAAATCTTCCGAGTTATTTGATTGATTTTCTTGCATTCCTAACAATTGATATCTTTGCCACATTTTATCATTAGAATCTGTTATTCCTTAAAGTTATTCTAGGCATCTTGAAGATAATTTGGATGACTGGCTAACTGAGCAATTAGAGAACTATTTGGATGATGATTATCTTGTCTTTGATTGTCCAGGTATTCTCTTAAACAGCTGAGGGCTAATGTGGTGGCCATTGTGGCACTATTGCACCATCTATGCAAATAGGAAGTTAGAATTATTTGCCGGGCAAAACAAAATTTGTGTGTAGCCCAGTAGCGGGCGCTATTAGACTGTGCATGGAGCTTTGAAGCTAATAGGGCCTTAAGTTTTGCGTGATTTATCAAAATATTTACATGCCTTAGAAGCATCATTGTGGCTACTTCTACCGTCAATTTTAGATTTAAGAAATTGTGAGGATAGATGAAGAAGAGAGAATTAACATATCATGATGTAAAATGCATGGAACAAGTTGTCAGTTACCTCTTGGAATAATTTGGTTATCTTTGTTACATATTGGGTCATGTTTTTAGAAAAGTCAAGGTGGATGTAAAAAAAATAGACTTGTTTGGGTTCAATTTTATTTTTTGGCAATATTTTGATTTTTTCTATTGTTTTTAAAAACATGGTTGTTTACTTCGATTTTTTACATATTTTTTATTTTTTGCTGTAAAGAACAAATTAACATTTATTTAAAAACACTCAAAATAATTTTTGTTGGTTTGAGTGTTTTTAAAAGAAATTTTATTTTATTTTATTTTAACTTATCAAACAAGATTTGTTTCAAACCAAAACATAAAGAAAAAGGTGACCCCAAATGCCCCTTTTTTATGTAGCGAAGTCTTTCAAAATGTCTGTTGGGATTATTACTTACCTTGCACAAATCATAAAATTCCCTTCTTCAGAGGTCTTTCGAGCTTGATATAGGGACCCATGAGGTGAAAGAATGGAATCTTATCATGTATGCAGAAGTGAAAAGATGATAACCGTCTTTACATTGATTAATTTTTTGTGTGCATAAGCATTGAATTATGCTAAAAGATTTCACCACGTAAACCATGGGGAGAAATGGTTTATATGATTATATAAGTCCATAGTAAACTTGTGATACAATTTATATTGACTGAAAAATGTCTTTTTTATGTGGTTTTTAAATTATTATTTGTATGGATTATTACTTTAGAGGTTTTGGCATAAAAATTGATATAAATATAGAAGTTTAGTGAATTGAAAAAAATATAAGATGACCCATTGGGTGTTTATGAGAACAATTTATGATGTTAAAAATTCTGTTTTTAGTGATCTTTATAATAGATTAGACACTAAAATGGTGAAAAGTATATGTATAAATTAGCCAAACAAAGCGAAAATGAAAGTAAAGATTTAATTCAAGTCAAGTGTATTAAAGATGCAAATCAAAGAGTACTTTTCTTAGAAGAAGATATTCAACATAGGTGAATGAGCTATTTTGATAAATTTTTTAATGAAATTTCTGAAAATACGATCGATCATAATGATCTTAATATCATTAATAATAAGAAAATGTTTTATTTTTACCACCACATTAGTGAAAAAGAAGTTGAGGATGCTTTAAAGAAAATCAAAGTTGGAAAATCAGTTCGATCTGATGATATCTCAATTGAAGTGTGGAAATACTTAGGAGATTTGGGTGTTTCTTGGCTTACAAGACTCTTTAATATTATTTTAAAAACTAAAAAGATATCTGTGGAGTGGAGGAAGAGTTTTTTGGTTTTCATTTTTAAGAATAAATGAAATGCACAAGAGTGAAAATTATAGATGAATTAAGGTGATGTGTCATACTTGAATTTTGAGAAAGGGTAATTGAACATAGGTTAAGACGTGATATAAATATTTCTTATAATTAGTTTGGATTTATGTCGTGGAGGTCTATTATGAAAGCTATACATTTATTGATAGGTTTGATGGAGAAGTACAGAGAGAATAAGGAGGATCTATATATGATTTTTATTGATGATTTTTTATATATGATTTTTATTGATTTAGAAAAAGCTTATGATATGGTTCAAAGAGATGCTTTTGGAGAGTTCTAGAGAAGACATGTTGATTTGACTTATATTCAAGTCATTAAAGATATGCATACTAAAGTTGTTACTTGTTTTTGAATAGAAGAAAGATTGACAAATATTTTCCTATTTCAGTTTGATTACTTTAGGGATTGTCTCTAAGCCCATATCTTTTTGCTTTAGTTATGGATGCTCTTACTGAAAATTTACAAGAGGATGGACCTTGGTGTATGCTTTTCGCTGATGATATTCTTCTTGTGGATAAGAATACAGAAAGAGTTCAGGAAAAACTTGAATTATGGAGGTCTACATTGGAGTCTAAAGGCCTTCATTTAAGTAGAGGTTTGAGTGGATCTAAAACTGAATACTTGGAATGTAATTTTAGTAGTAGTAGCTCTAGTGACAGAGTTGTAACTATGGGTGATCAAATCATTAAAAGGTGTGAACGTTTTAGATATCTCTGGTCTATTGTTCAAAGTGTCGGTGATATAGATGGGGATGTTATTAGTAGAATTCAAGTTGATTGGTCGAAGTGGAGGAATGCATCGGGCCTATTGTGTGATAGGAAAGTATTGCTTTGATTGAAAGAAAATTTTTATAAGATGGTAGTGAGAATTGCAATGCTCTATGGCGCAAATTGTTGGCTTTAAAAAGGGAAGCATTAAACAAAGTTAAGTGTTGCTGAGATAAGAATGCTTAGGTGGATGAGTGGCTTAACACTTAGAGACAAAATGCAAAATGAGTTTATCCGTGATAGGGTTGGTGTAATTCCAGTGGAGGTTAAGATTAGATAGAGTCGTCTTAGATGGTTTGGTCACATCAAATATCGATCATCTGATGATCCGGTTGGGAGAGTATATATTTTAGATTCGATTTATGTTAAGAAAAACAGAGGTAGACCTAAAAAAACTTGGGTTCCTGTAAAAAAAAATGATCTTAATCTATTAGAACTAAATGAAAATATAACACTCAATAGGATGCAATGGAGAAAAAGGATTCATGTAACCGACCCCAAGAAAAAGGATTCAGGATTCATGTAACCGACCCCACTTAGTGGGATAAAGGCTTGTTGTTGTGTTGTTATTGTTGTATGGATTATTGCTTTATATGACAATCTATTGATCAATTTTTGTTGTATGACCTCGCAGGTCAGATAGAGCTTTTTACACATGTTCCAGTTTTGCGAAACTTTGTAGAACATCTTAAACGCAAAAATTTCAATGTCTGTGCTGTATACTTGCTTGATTCACAGGTATGCTTCAAGTCAATTTACAATTTTTTTCTTATGCCCCTTCTAGCTGATGATTTTTTTTCCCTTCCACAGTTTATAACTGATGTCACCAAGTATATAAGTGGCTGTATGTCATCTCTTTCAGCAATGATTCAGCTGGAACTGCCTCATGTGAATATTCTCTCAAAAATGGACCTTGTAAAAAATAAAAAAGATCTTGACTAGTGAGACCCATTACCAAATCTTTCATTTTGTGTAACCATATGTTACCCATGTGTCTTAACTTCTTCTTTAATTGATACTAGTTATCTGGAACCTGAGGCTCGGGTTTTACTGTCGGAATTGAACAAACATATGGCACCTCAATATGCCAAACTAAACAAAGTTTTGGCTGAATTGGTATGCTTTAGGAGCAAAAATCGCCCTTTATATTCCTTTTTTTTATTCAACTGATTTCCTTTTATGTTTTTAGCTTGTAAGCCTCCAAATCTAATGCTGGTCTTATTTAAATTCAGTATGGAATTGCTGGTCAAATTTTGTTGCTCAATTGGCTAAGTGAATGCAACTTAAAAATGATCATTCATTCTTCTTAGGAAATAAAGATATAAATTTATCCTTCAACCATCCAAAGTTAATACTCGAACAAATATAATTTAAATTTTAAATGATGACAATCGCCCGTTAGGCCATAACCATCTATCCCCAATTCTGTATCATGATTTCTGATATTCAGAACTCCAAGAATAACTCCTTAAGTCCAAGTAATCAATGCTCACATTTTTGCATTTCTTCAATATATATATATATATATATATATATATATATATATACACACACACATATATATATGTGTGCATGTGCGTAAGTGCGCGCGCGCTGTCCACGTCCAGGCTCATTGGTGCAACCTTTGGCATAAGTTCCTCAGGTTGGGGGTTCAAATCCCGTGGCGTAAGCTCTTCGGATCAATCGAAGCACACTTGGGTTTTGACCCAAATGGAGGAAGCGTTATTTGGGGCCCATCAGACCAAATACCAATTCTCTTTTAAGTATATCTATATATAGATGTATATATATACATACATAAGTAAAGGGCTTGGAGATTTTCTTCTAGAGTTGTAAGAGGAGAGGGAAGGTAAAAGATTTCTTCTTCATTACACTTTTAAGAGAGAATTGAGAGTGTTTGTAAAGAAAAAAAAATGTTTGGAGAGAACTTTTAGGGATTTGCTTGGCTATGATTTCTACAACATGGGGAAAATTTTATTTCATTTCATAAGAGAGTATGTCATACATGGAATTGAGTGCAAATAAATAGGGAAATATACTTTGTTGGATGTAGAATTGGAGATTTTAAGGTGACAGATTAAAATCTTCAATTTGGTTCAGTTGATTGGTAATGCGAGATTGTTATCCCTCAAGGGAGGGAGTAGTTGAAGCTCTGGAGTGACAGCTGATATCCTCCCAACCTAACCACAGAATTAGGGACGAAACTTTGGATCAGTCAATGTTCTTTATAGCACTCAGAAAAGAGTAAAGAATATGATTGCTCCTATTTGACACAAAATAATATATATATATATTTTCAAAATGATTTTAATTTTTTCATAATCCATATGCTCATTGTAAGGAAAATGATGCTTTCTTAAATTTGAACTTTCCGTCAACAAAAATTTCATTTAGTTTTCATAATTTTACTTTTGAAATTTTAGTTTCCGGTTTAGTTAACTTTGTCTTTCAACTGCATTTTAAATAGCATTCACTTTAAGTAGTTAATATTCAAACTTCACACTTTACATTTTTTTAGTTTAAATTATAATTATAATCTTAAGAACTATCTACATGCATTTTTAACTTCTCTGTGGGATCGATATCTAAGATTCCATTAGAGTTCTTTATTACTTGAGCGATACGTATACTTGAGTTATTTTTCAAAAGAATTTGACAGTTTAAATGAGTTTTAAAGATAAACTATTTTTATTAAGGTTATTTTTGTTGAGATTATATTATATATTTATTTTTATATCTGTCGTGTGTATTTTGTAATATTGAAAAATAGTTGCAAAATTAATACACTAAATTCGCCCGCATCAGACACCAAGGCAATTTTTTGAAAATTATAAAAGAAGACTTGGATTGAAGAATCAGAGATCGCCAACCCCCCATTCATACATACATATATGCATCTACACGCACACACACACACATATGCATCTCTTTATGTTTTTGTGTAATCATACTCGTGCATTGCATACAAAAACTATATTATAATATGGTGTCTGTACTATGCCAACTTTCATCTAAGATTTGTGAATAGAAACTACTATTTATTTTTTATGCATTTATGCTCGTACATTTTCTTAAGCCTTGTTAGGTTAGACAAGATTATGATTTTTGTGACCTCTGCATATGCTGAACTTATTGAAATACAAATGCTTTTAAGGACAAAAATTTAGTTCGTTCAAGGCAAAATACTAGAGGTTAGACATTGATCTTTTCAAACATGGTGCCGCTTTCTAAAAATATGTTGTGAATGATTTTTTATTACACATTTTTACATTAGCTTGAAAGTTCACCAATGAAAATGAATTAAAAATATAATGGTTTTGACATGAAAATCATAAAAAGAGACATTAAGTTTTATTATTTTAAAAACTTTCCATTCAGGAAGAATATTTCATAATCTTTTTTAAGGGCTAAATCTTGTATGATATCTTATGATCTTAAGTTGTTATCATCATTGCCATTATTTATGACACTATCATAACTTATTGGTGTTTACTTTATGAGTCCTTTCCTTCTTGTTGAGTGCTACATGGGCTTTAGCTCTATTTTAAGGGTTTTTTACATCTTTTTTGTTATTTATTATATATTCTCTTTTTTCTCCTATTAATTTAACATTACAAATATTAAAGCGTCTTATTCACGCATCTTTTCCCCAATATCATTAAAGGTGAGTTGAGTCTCAAGTAAAGCAGAAGTAAGATTGTAGCTCTGCATTGACCTCTTAGATGGTGGGAATCATTACTAGGGAAAGGCTTAAGTCATAAATCTTGCCTTAAGCTGTACTAGTAAGGCGATTGTCTTACCTTGATTTGAGTGATTGTTTCTAATATTTAAGATGTTGAAGATAAGCTAATTTGTTATGCTGATAAAATGCTATGGGATGATGTGAAAGAGCTTCAAGGGTTGGAAAAACAAACAAGTTCCCTCAGAAACAAGATGCTTAAATATTGGTGCAAGATATGAAATTTGCTCGTATTAAATCTTGAAGATTGTGATGATTAATCTAAGAAAATAAATAAGAGATGGATGCAAGAATTTTCTTGATAGCTAGAAGTGGTTGATGCAAAGATGGAACTATTGATAGTGAAAAACATAGTTGATAAGAAGAAACAATTTGGTTTCTTTTAAAAAAAAATATACTTGTAATTTGGGGTGTAAATGAACCCATGCACTTGATGGGCAACTTAAACTCAGTTTGATTAATACTCATTCATGTTTGTTCAAATTAATAAATAAACAAATTTGGACAATTTCTTAAAACTTCAATTTTAATGAACTTAATTTAAACATAGTACAACTCATTTATTAATGTTCATGAATAAGCTCGTTTGTTGTTCAACAGCTTGTTAATTGCTCTATATATATGATATATGTGAACAACTTGTTAATTGCTCTATATATATGATATATTATCTAAATAAAATTTAATTATTTAAAATCTATTTAATTATAATTTTCATAATACTATATTATAATTTAATTTCAATATGCATAGAAATTTAATATTATTTTTTTAGTATTTTTATTTCGATGAACCAATTTATTAGTACTTATTTATATTATTTGATTAAAAAAGTGTGCTTATAACTTAAATATTATTTTATTCTTTTGATATAAATTAGTTAGACGTTAATTTGAAATTTATTCAATTGCTTATTTATTTTGATTTGTAAAATTAATTTCTAATTATTTTATATAAAAAAAGTAGTTTTGATTTGAATTTTTAGCTTATTTAGTTTTGCTTGAATCATTATGTATAAGTTGAGTTTTTAATTATATAAAAAATCACATATTCATTCAAATTTTTAGCTTGTTCAATGAATACAAACAAGTCAAGTTTTGAGCAAGCATGAACATTAAAAATTTTAAGCAAGTCAAGTATGAACAGATGTGAAAGCTTGGCTCAAGCTTGAACTAAATATAAACAAGTTATGATTCAACCAAGCTAAGTTCAATTCATGACATATTCAACTCGACTTAGTTCAATTACAACCCTACCTGTAATCCGTGCATGATCTCACTACAAAACACTTCAATTTCTTCCTCTTTAGAATCCCTAGCCTACATTCCCTATGCCATTCAGCACATCACGCCTGTGACCCTTATATATTGCACCGACCTGTCTATTTTGCACTCGCTCAACCTCTCTTTGGATGCTCTCCTAGAAGCCTAAGTATGCTCTCCTCTTATTGACACATTTGCACTTTTTCCCTCTCCCAGTTCTGTTCATAAAATCTGCTTTCTCCCTTGCATGCTTTCTTTCTCACACATCTTTGACCTCAATGCACGCTCTCCATATTTCTTGTTATCTCACTATCTCTTGCTGCTAGCCCTCTCTCTCTTGTATTCTCCACGCAATCAAATCTCTCTCTCTCTCTCTTTCGTACTCCCGCTCCCACGCCTCCCTCTCTCTCCCTCCCTCTCCCTCTCCCTCTCTTTCTCTTTTCCCTCCATTTACTACTTGCTTGCTAAAGCCTCTTATGTGCTCTACTATTACAATCTCTGTCCTGCACACCCTGCTCATATTTTTTTCAATTACTTACCTGGTCTCTTTTTTGCTACTTAGCTAATTGTAATCCATTCATCTGACTTTGTTTACCTTAGCATGAACACTTTCCTGTGTACGACATCAACTACATAAACAAAAATGGTCCTCATCAAACATCATCTGCCTCTTAAACTAGCAAGATGTAAACAGTGCCTTATCTTATCCTGTGCTGGGATGAGCCTTGCAACCTTTCCCATGATGTAAATCATGCCTCACTCTACTTTTACATCTATCTAGTTGAGCCTCGTAGCGTTTCCTACTATGTAAATTGCGCATACTCCTTTGTGGCATTTTATTTCCTACTACGTAAATTGCGCATACTCCTTTGTGGCATTTTATGAAGTATGTCTCGTAGCCTTCTTAATAATAGTAAACCAAGCAAAAAGATGGGGAGAAGCTATGTATTTGTAGCCTCACCTTTTCAAACATCTCTAGTTTTTTAATTGAACAAGCTTTTACCCTTTCGTCTTTTTTGTGCCATCAAAATTTACTGTGATCGTTGAAACCCTATGATGTGAATTGGAGCCACTTCAAACTTGGGCCCATCTATCTGGAGAAGATATGATCAATC